TAGATGACAATAAGCACTTTAGGTGCCCTTGGTGGGGCAGCTCGGAGTTTGATGTTGGCATATTCGTGAGTGAGAAGTTTGTCTATAAATGCTGAATCATTAGGCACAAAGACGTAGTTATCCTCATCGCGGACAAACTTGATCGTTTTCTCATGATCGTTTACACTAACTTCGAAAAACCAGTTAAACTTGGTCTCTAGATCAGTGTTGTTAGGGAAATCTAACCTGACAGCTTTGGGAGGGTGTGCGCCCACTGTATTGCTTTCACCAAGCTTTACAGAGTCAGAGAAAGATGTAATGATCAGGTGTTTTCTGTGTGAATACAGGATCTGAAGCCTGTATTTCCTTGATGGGTGAGAAACCAAATATTTTAATAAATAACAAAAAAGGCACAATACCGTGACTGGAACGATACACAAATAACCCGCACATAGAAGAGAGGAACTTACGACGACGTTTCGGTCCGACTTGGACCATTTACAAAGTCACACTAATCAGAAGAGGAGCAGAATGGCTATATATAGGCAGGAAGAGGTAGTGGTGGTGGTAGTGGAAGAAGTAATAGTGGTGGTGGTGGTGGTGGTAGTAGTAGTAGTAGTAGTAGTAGTAGTAGTAGTAGTAGTAGTAGTAGTAGTAGTAGTAGTAGTAGTAGCAGTAGTAGTAGTAGTAGTAGGTAGTAGAAACATAAGAAAAAAGAAAGGAGGAACACTGCAGCAGGCCTGTTGGCCCATACTAGGCAGGTCCTTTACAATTCATCCCACTAACAAAACATTAGTGGGAAGAATTGTAGTGGTAGTGGTGGGGAACTAAGGAGGAGGAGCCAGTCAAATATAAAGAAAGGGGAGCACTGCAAGGGACAGGTGCCCACAGAGGGGGAGCAAGTGCACAGAGGTGGGGGAAGGGGAAGTGATGAAATAAATAATGAAGGAACAAAAACACGCGACAGAAGAAAGACAAAAAAGGAAAGAGGAAAGGGGAAGAGGGAGAAGAAAAAAAATGAGGAATCAGGTTAAGTCACGGTGTCATGTAGGGGGGTAATGATTGAATAGGATATAAGTGGGGAATATGGGAGTAAGGGATTATGTAGGCAGGGGAGAGGCAGGCGAGGTGGTAGGAGTGAGATGATTAGCGGAGGAGGTAGGTAATGACAGGTCAGTGGTGACCACCACGACACTCTCATTAACTCCACACTACTCACTAACATATGCCTCGCCCATTCTTCACTCATATAAACATAAAAAAATATAAGAAAAAAGAATAAATAACGGTGGGCAGTGAATATTACTATTCTACTCAAACACAGTTTATTATTAAGTCTTTGTACAATAATATATTTGGGAACAGAGCATTATTGTGGTTTAGATAAATGGGGTGGTACACATAAGCAGTGAGACAGGGAAATACAATCAACTTGACGAAAATGAATATAACTTACAATATAGCACAGAGGACATTTTCACTACAGGAACTAAGCCACGGGTCCCAAGACCTATACAGCACGAGTAATGTGCCAAGCCATACTCTGCCCAATGCCTCCAACAGCCTCCTCCAGAGACTTCAGCAGCCTTTTTCCCGAGCCCTGCCCCCCCAGCAGCAGCTCCGCTCGAAGTCTCTGCTCAGGAGCTCTGCACCCCAGCAGCAGCTCCGCTCGAATCTCCTGATCATGCTCTTCCTTGGGCTTTTATGGTGGTCCAAGCACCCTCCACAACCACGTGTACGACCTGACGCCTAGGTCTGAAGCCGTCAAGAACAAAAGACCTCAGACGTGGGCGTGGCTACAGACGTTTGCCAAGGCAAGGTGTGACCATATAATTGGTTAAATTAGGTCCCCCCAGAGACCTCACAAGCCCAGCTGAACTACATCACAACGGGTGTTGTGAAGTTTGGAGCATTTTACAATGTAGTGGGAGAGGAAGGCATCTACAGAGACGAAGCCAGGACTAAGATTCATACAAGGAAAGTTGTGTATTAGAGAGGATTCAACAAGACGGCGACTGTTAAAGTTGGAAGTAGGGAAGACAGTTTTAGCAGAAGACCAGTCTATAGGATGACTGTGATCTTCGCACTAATCTCGTTCATACCTCTCCTCCCTCTATAGATGTTCCTGGTGTCTACTCTATTTCTTGCTCCTCCTGTCCTCTTCAATACTTTGGAGAAACTGGCCGGTCTCTTTCTGACAGACTTAGGGAGAACAAAAATAGTGTTAGGCTTGCCGACACTAACAATGCTCTTTTCTGTCACGTCAGAGATCACAGTCATCCTATTGACTGGGCTTCTGCTAAAACTGTCTTCCCTACTTCCAACTTTAACAGTCGCCGTCTTGTTGAATCCTCTCTAATACACAACTTTCCTTGTATGAATCTTAGTCCTGGCTTCGTCTCTGTAGATGCCTTCCTCTCCCACTACATTGTAAAATGCTCCAAACTTCACAACACCCGTGACTTAACCTGATTCCTCATTTTTTTTTCTTCTTCTCCCTCTTCCCCTTTCCTCTTTCCTTTTTTGTCTTTCTTCTGTCGCGTGTTTTTGTTCCTTCATTATTTATTTCATCACTTCCCCTTCCCCCCACCTCTGTGCACTTGCTCTCCCTCTGTGGGCACCTAGCTCCCTTGCAGTGCTCCCCTTTCTTTATATCTCACTGGCTCCTCCTCCTTAGTTCCCCACCACTACCACTACAATTCTTCCCACTAATGTTTTGTTAGTGGGATGAATTGTAAAGGACCTGCCTAGTATGGGCCAACAGGTCTGCTGCAGTGTTCCTCCTTTCTTATGTTCTTATGTGCTACTACTACTACTACTACTACTACTACTACTACTACTACTACTACTACTACTACTACTACCACCACCACTACCACCACCACTACCACCACCACTACCACCACCGCTACCACCACCACTACCTCTTCCTGCCTATATATAGCCGTCCTGCTCCTCTTCTGATTAGTGTGACTCTGTAAATGGTCCAAGTCGGACCGAAACGTCGCCGTAAGTTCCTCTCTTCTATGTGCTGGTTGTTTGTGTAACCAAATATTTTATTTTAATAAACTGCATTATCCAACATCCTTCATCCTTAATTGTACAAAAACTTTTATACAAATTTTGAAAACACCTAAAACAAAAAAGAATGCAAACTATTACATAATTTTTCCCTACATATAACGCCGCCTACAATATCATAATAATTTTGAACCAAGGAGACAATAAAGTAGCTGGCATAACCTCCTCTACCACCTGTGACCTCCCTACTCAGACAAATATGCATAACACAGATGAAGAAGTTTGGGTCTATGAAATTTCATTGCAATGTATATGACAATATTTACTGGGAGAAATCACCAGAAGTTAAGTAAATGAATCAAAGTGGAGAGGTACACAGCGGTAATTGATAATAGAAACAATGTTTGTCCAACGTAGACATTCACATACTCTTCCACTATTGGGTTTTTCCACTGATGACACCGCCTACCATTGCTTCACCTCATCTATCACCAGTATATAAACTCCGTCTCCACGAATATGCTGTACTTTTATCAGAATTGATGGACTGAAGGCATCGACTCTAGGTTGAGGGACTGATTACATAAAACTCATCCTCACCCTTCACTTTTCTCTGTAATGGGCTGAAGAAGCCACTGGCTGGCGAAACGTTTCCAGAATAAAGATACCCAAATGTGGCAAAAGTGTGTCTAAACCATTTATTCAAATGTATAAAGCTCTAAAATAAATTTGGGACTCCTGTTACATAAGTAACAGGAGTCCCAAATTGATATAAATCCCACTAATCTGTTAGCTTTATTGCGCACACTTAAGCACTGTTGTCTTGTCTCTAGATTTCTGTTTACCATGACTCTCAAGTCTTTTTCACAATTTTATATGAGTAAACACTACATCACATAGTTTATAACTACGAGGTTATTTTCATTCCCATGGATTAGGACTTTACACTTGTCCACCATGAGCTGCATTTGCCACTTTTCAGACCATTATATAAATTGGTCCATATGCTCCTGAAATTCAGCTGGCCTAGTGGCTAACACGTTGGTCTGGAGTTTATGACTCTCTGATCGCTGGTTCTATCCCCGCCCCTGGTATGGTTTGCTTACAATTGTGTCCTTACAATTTCGTGAGTCAGTTTGGTAATCTCCTCACAGTCTATTAATGATCAGAGTCTATTGTGTGATCAGCGAATTTACTCACATCACTTGCAATTCCTTCAGAAAGATCATTAATGTAAATTACGAACAACAATGTGCCTAAAACTGATACTTGCAGAACGCCACTTGCCACCCCATTAATGCAAACTGCTTTCTATTAGTCATGCCTCGACCCATGTTAATAGTTTACCTCCTATGCAATGAGCTGTCACTTTCTTAACAATCTTTTATGAGATACAAACAGTCTATTGTAAGGTACAAATGTTTTATTACTGATTCCCAAGAGTGGTTTCTTTATTAAAGAGACTCAACAGTAAGTGGCTACTTTATTAAAGAGACTCAACAGTAAGTGGCTACTTTATTAAAGAGACTCAACAGTAAGTGGCTACTTTATTAAAGAGACTCAACATAAGTGGCTACTTTTTATTAAGAAATACAACAGTAAGTGGCTACTTTATTAAAGAGACTCAACAGTAAGTGGCTACTTTATTAAAGAGACTCAACACTGGTTTATCAGCGTTGTTTAATTACTGAGTTATCACCTGGTGAAGACTCATGTCAGACGACATAGCTGATCACCTCAACATAACCATCATCGTTAACCTTATTCTGAGACCCCGTCAACGAGGAGGTAACGGTGAATCGCTATTGATCCAAGGAATTGGAGTTACCCTCCCTTTGCTTGGATCAAGCCCGAAGACATCCCAGCTCTAAAGTGAGTTATGATAATTTTCAGTTTAGCACCTCCCAATAAGATTAACAACAACAACAACAATAACAAAAACAACAACAGTAATAATAACAAAAATAAATTATCGTGAGGCAAACGTGTGTTCCACTGACCTTGATTGGTCTGTGACGGTCTGGCTGCTTGATGCGGAACCAGAAGAATGCTCCAATGGTCCCCAGTTCTAGCAAATTAGTGGCGAAGGAGAGGTAGTTAATGAGGACTATCATGTCTGAAGTCACGAACATCACCATGGTGATGGTAGCCTGAAGGATACATGAATACAGGGGTATATGAATACGTGAAATAAATTCACACACACATGCTGCATACGTACATACATGCATAAAACTATGCTAAAGTGTATATACATGTAAACTTATGCAAATTCATATAGACTCGTGCATAAATAAAAAAGTACTTACAAACATGTATACATTCTCACATTCGGGTAGCTCCGAGGCACAGAAATGCAAGTTAGTGCTGCCTTTGCACTTTTTCTTAAATGGCGTGCTGTACCCTCGATGCCCTGAGAATTTTTGAAAAACCCTTTTTTTTTTTATATATTTTTTTAGAGCAAAATCTTGTACAGAACCAGACAAAAAAAAGTATATGTAAAAAAACTGTTGAAACCCAATAAGTACAAAACTTTAAATTTTTCCACACACACACCCTTTTTTGGACACAGGAAAAAGGAAACCCGTCACAGACAAAACAAAAAAGAAAGACCATCACGCACACTATACACACCCCAAGCCCCCTATCAGTATATATAAAAAAAAACACTTGAAATTAATCACATCCCCTTCTACATGGGTGGACGTAAAGCTGCCCAAAAAAACAAACAATAAAGTAGGTGTACGTAAAAAAAAACATCACACATAAAAAAATTATTGTAAAAAAAACGCAAAATTCCTAATAAATCCCCCTTTTCCTTGGGAGAAAATTTCATACAGAATATTTTTTATCCATTTGGGGGTACACACCCTCCCCCGAGGTACACACACCTCTCCCAAAATACACTTGCCACAATTACTAAATTAAAAAAAATTTTTACACATGCCCAATTTTGGGGAAACCCCCCCACTTTTTTCCCCGTTTTTCCAATTTACACATTCCCTGTCACACTTCTTTTTAGCCGTACATGAGCGTATAACCTGTCACAGTGCACAGTACACAAAACACAAAAAACCTCACCCAACATCCTTACAGCATACATCGTAAAATTACCTTCTAAAAGAAAAATATACCCCACCTTCTAACCCTAGGTGTTTATTAAGGACCAAAACATATGCAAGGCTTTAAAAATTTTTATAGGAGTAATTTCGTCAACATCCCGTGGGGGCACGTAAGCCAAAAATATAACCCGAAAACCCCCACAGGCCTCCTGTCTTTCCCCCAAATATTGGTCACCCACACAAGGGCCAAAAGCACTAAAGACAAAAAGAATGCAGATGGAATATATAAAAGACTTTTGCAAAAGCCTTTGACAAGTGGAAACCCTGGCGTAATAGCGCACAAAATTCGTGCTAAAGGAATAACAGGAAAAGTTCCGGGCGATGGACTATAATTTCCTCACTAACAAACACAGAGATAGTCGCAACAAGGGAAAGTCCGAGGGAGCTACGGTGAAAAAACCCCCTGTTCCACCCCAAAGGGACATTTCTCCCCCTCCCACCCTTTTTCCCCACCTCATATCCCAATAGAAAAAGTGTCAGCCACACACCTTAAACTTCCTTTGCAGATACACCCGAATCTGCCCTGACAGTGTCCCTTTCCCTTTCAGACACCTTTCAAAGCCCCAGGCAAGAAAATCAACCCAAAACTTTTCAGTGGCTGCGAAAACAATATGAAAATTCAACATTGGGGAAATTTTCATTTTTCAAAATGGTTTAAAATGAGGGAAATTTAAAACCCTTCCCTCAGAGTACAAAACAAATTCTGGCCACAAAAAAGAGCAAACAACCCAAAGTCAAAGACCTTTGGGGGTTTATCAAGTCGGAGGTCCCACCCCTTTAAAGACCATAAAAATTGTATTTAATCGCCCTCTGGGTTTAAAAAATTGGGCAGGGTGGATAATGAGAACCTTTAAAACAAGGGGGGCCAAGCCCATAAAACACTCTTTAGGGCACTTGTTTTATTTTAGGGGGAATTTGCAGCACTCCCAACAGCACCCTTTTAAGGCAGGTGAAAAAGCCCCCCCCTAAAAAAATGTACAGATAAACTTTTAATTTTCGGCCCCCATAAACCCGGGGATAAAACACCCCAAATTAATTTGGGGGGCGCTTGAGGGGTTTCCCAAACCTTTTCCCTGGGAAAGCAGGAGGGGGAGATACATGAATTTTATACACCGGAAAATCCAAAAGGACAAATACCGAAAAATTTCACACAAAAAACCTCACAACAAAGCAAAAGACTTGGCCCGACGATGCAACATCCCCCCAAAAAACAGGGGTGTTTACTACACGTTTAAAAAGACCATACAGGGAAGTGTCAGGGGCCCCCCCAGATTTCAACTGGGCCCCCAGCACACATAAGGGGGATTAAACCCAAAAAACCCCCCCGGGAATCCCTTCAAGCTGGCACTGGACAAAAACCAAAAATCCCGTTTTCCGAAACACCGGGCCCGTGGCTCGTACTTTTGGTTTTTCGTGCCGCCAGCAAACAACAGCCTTTTTTGAACCCGGCTCCGATCCACCAAAGGGGGCCCCCGGTCACAAACCGGGGCCCCGGGGGGGTTACCCCCGGAACTCTCTCCAGGTAAACTCCAGGTAAAAAAAAACAGGATTTGCACTTTTTTAAACCCCCTGTCCTCACACTTCATCCAAACAAACCCACCCAAACCCCACTGAACCACCCCCCGTTTTCGGCAAAGCCCAAAACCCCCTACCACACCCCACCACACACAAACACACACACACACACACACACACACACCCCACACAAACACAGGGGGAAAATGATAAAAGACATAAAATCTAATGGGGAGGGGAAAAGACAAGGGGAAAAGAGACAAGAAAGTTCCAGAGAGGGGGCAAAAGAAACAAGGGGGCGCAATTGGGAAACTGAGTCACAGGGGCGTTAGGAATTTTTTCTTCGTCTTTGAGTCGTCAGGTTTTAATACCCAGAAAGGAAGAGGGAAAGGGAAAACCAACAAATTTTTTAAAAAGAAAAACAAATTTTAGAACAAAGGGGGAAACAAATAAAAAAGGCAAAAATTTAAAGGCCGGGCCAAACTAGGTTTAAAAATTTGGGGAGTTACCCAAACAAACAAAATGGGGGGAACCCATTGGGGGGGATTTCTTCCCCCCGGAGCCTGAACCCCACCCCCCCCCCCCACAAATTTGGGGAAAAATTAAAAGTCCGGGGGGTCCCCTCCCACACCACAATTTTCCCATTTGGGGAAACCCCCCAAGGGAACCCCAATTTTCCCCAATTCCCCCCAACCTTCCCCGCCATACCCCCCCCCCCCCCCCCCACTACAAAGCTAGTAAGATCCCAAAAGTTAAACCACGATAACCTGCAGGGAAGTCCCCCTCCCACTGTGATCCACATATTTCCCTATTCCTGCAAACCGTCCTAGAGAAAGTAGCTGCCATTACCCATTTCCTCCCAACCCAATCCCCATTCCCACGCATACCCCACACCCGCGACACGTACACAAAATCCACCATTAAATATGCCAATGCTCGTTGTGTACTCTCTGGCACCCCTCCCACATCCAAAACGAGCGCTCTCAACACCGGTATGCCCCCCCTCCCACTTGCCTCACTATCCTACCCATCCAATCCCGAACATTCCCCAAACATTTGCAAAAATACACCGCATGATATGTCATATCCTCTCCACCACACACCCACTCTCCTCAGCTACTCGTCTCGCCCATAGAACCACTCCTGATGTCAAAATGCCATGCAGGAAACAGAACATAACCTCCCACATCCGAAGCCTGAGCTTCAACTTACGAAAACGATACTGTCTCCCCATCCATACATGGGGTATATTCCCTCCACCGGCACCACCACCTGGCTCCCAGTCACTCTCGCCAACACCCCCACGTGGATCTTGCCAGGTTCCCCTAGAACCATGAGGGTATGCAGCACCATCTCACATTCCCTCAACTCTGCACCCACATACCACCTCTTCACTCCCTCATACAGAAGCTTTAACCCCCCACACCCCCGACTCGTACATACTCCCTTCGTAAGTAAACACATTTTATCCAATGCTGCAGATCCAATAACCCTAACCCCCCTGATGTTCCGGCAGCATTACCACCTCCCTCCTCAGCCAATCACACCTGGAACCCCATGTAAACTTAAACACCCTCTTTAAGATTCTCGTAATTCCTTGCCCTGTTATGGGGTAAACTGCCGCCATGTGCCAAACCTTACTGTATAGTAACATGTTTACCACGATAGCACTCTGCAACAATGTCAAATCATATGGTCGCAAACTCCCCAATCTATGCTGCACCCATTCCACAATACACTCGGAGTTCACCTCTCTCGACCGCACTTGGTCCTCCATATACACTATTCCACATATCTTTAAGCTATCCACCACCCTCCACTCCACACCAGCATCCCAGTCTCCCTGCCAGTTCCAATTTCCCAGCCCTAATAAGCACGATTTCTCCACATTAACCCTCATCCCCAAACGTACGAATGACCTCTCCCACCTCTCTCAAACTCTTTCCCTCCCACACGAGTACCATCGTGTTGTCGACATATCCTACGATCCCCGGCCCACACCCCACCTCCCCTGTCCCCACCCCCCCACAGATACGGGCCTCAATGAGTCTATAAAATGGGTCCTGAACACAGGCAAACAGGATTTGGGAAAGTGAACATCCTTGCCTGAGGCCCCACCCCATACATACCGCTTTCCCTATGTGACCATTGATTTGCACATGCACCCGCGCCCCTCGATACAATGTCTCCACCCTCTCCGCAACTTCTTCCCCAAATCCCTGCTTTAGAAGGATCTGCCGCAATGTCTCCAGTTCCACACAGTCATATGCTCCCTGCCAATCTAAAGCAAGTAAGCCCCCCTTTTCCCCCTAAACCCTCCACAAACCCCTTAAGACGTCTGTGGCCCTCGACACTAGATCTGCCAGGCAACCCATATTGCCCTCCCAATACGACATGCCCCACGACGCATTTCAGGCAATTTCCCAGAATTTTTGCAAACAATTTATAATCTACACATAGTAAAGATATCACCCGATAATTCTTTAGGGTATTCTGGACCTCTCCCTTCAGGA